TATATATATGAACCAATTAATCAATTATCTATTGATGTAAACTCACAATCTGGGGTCCCATAGAGTGTGTGAAACCTTCTCAATCCAGGTGACATTACTGGCTTCACACAGTCGCTTGACCGCATTGTCTCTGTCTTGCCAGACCGACTCAGGATCCTGGTCAAAAGACAGATGAGTTACCTTCCAATCCTGAAACAACAATATTTTACATTATAATATTAAATTTATAATAATAAATATTATAGATATAATATATAACGATAATGATAACATAAGAAATTAATGCTTAACCGATGAGCACATAACCGTCATATGGCGGATACCGGTGATACATGATCAATGGTTATGTATATACCAAGTGTTTATTTTGCCGACTTAACTCGAATTTGCTTATCCTTAATGTAAAGTTTGTTAAATAAATATTTGTTTAATTAATCAAATTTATGTCGGATTTGTTAAACAAAGGCTGGTTTATTCTGTGAATAATCGAGGTGGCAAATTAATCTGATCAGAGTGAGCAAATTTTGGCAGAGAATCTAAACGACAAATCGTGTATAAAGCGCTAATTAATTTCAACGCGTCAAAGAGATTTATATGTAGAAAACACATAATTCTACAGAAGTCACATCATCAATCCTTAGTCTTCAGTGAGTATTAACAAAAAATCGTTGAGTGAGTTCAGACGAATCTGAACAAGAAAGGAGTAAAGATCGATTATTGTTGATCCCAATGAGATTATGAACCACTTTAAACAATTTGTTTAGGTCATCGTCTATAAAATAATATGACTTATGTAATATTAATCGAACCGATTTAATTGCTCACCGTTACATTTTCGACGGTCGTTATCGTTAATTCGCCGGCGTCGCTCGACTCTTTAACATATTTTGTTTTCTGTGAGTGAACGAACTTAATGCATAAAGGGTTATTTTCTCTATCGCAACTTTAAGCCAACGGAATCGTGAAGCACAACAGTTGGGTAGTCAGTTATACACAATATTTGGATTGGTATGGATAGTAAAGTCTTTGTTTGTCCTTTTATTTTAATAATCTTCTATATAGTGCGCCCGCCTTTCAATGCATATTAATTACAACCCTTGTCATTAGATATAGTCAATTACTCTATTTTATTTTATTCAGGTATAAGAACATTAAAAAAAAACAGTCAGAGCACAAGACTGAACGACTGAATTTACAATATGATACAATCAATATTATGTGTACGACAGTCGTACCTGTGGATTAAATATATAGTAGTCAGAATTTTAAAGACACGTGGTTCCGTACAAATAGTGAACTTCTTTAATTACTGAAATGTGTGCAACAAAACGTGTGTTAACAAACTAATATAGGCCTAATTAAGTGACGTGAGCATGACGGTGATGTCTTAATGTTGTCACGAAATTAATTATACACAGTAATTTCCACCGCTCTATGAAGACGATTTCAACACCAAATAGTATTAGAGTCGTGCTTAAGGGACTTCAGTTAATCACGGTTCGAAGTCTATGATTCTGTGTACCCATACAATCAATGCAGGAACGGTTCGTTTTGTTGACGCATGCATAGACCAGATATTTATAATGAAATTTAAGCATATAGAAACAATACATTACTAAAATAATAAACAATCAAGTGAGAAGCTTTGTTATTATAGAAGCCTAGTCGTAAAAGCCGCGAGAGGTCTATTTTAAAGCCTCAATAAAATTCCGATACATTACCGTGTTTTACCGTAGTGGAGTTGAATAGTTTGGTGGTCAATATGCTTGCTTTACAATCCCAAGGTAGGCTACTGAGTTCAATTCCTGTCACGATAACAGGATTTATTTTTTTCTTACGACCAAAACAACTCCACTCCCATAAGCCTCATATGAGGCTTTGTCGATGTAAAGCATCGTGTGTTTATGTTTGTCATGTGAAATGATTGTCTCCTGTTAATAGGACAATGATTAAGTCGCTATTGGTAATCTTTGGCCATGTGCCTCAAGGAATAAAAAAAAAATAAATAAAAAGTACGATCTTCTTCCCTTCATACGCACCATTTATTCTTCTTTATATTGCATGACAAGCCCATGAGATAGTATATGTTTTACCTGCATATATCTACTTCAATATTCATCATGTTTGACTCAATAACTTGCCTTACACACGAAGCTAGGCGCAGCATTACAGTTTATTACCTGTATACTCTATATTTGTCACCCCACTCCCTGTTCACCCTAACCGTTTTGGATCTAGAAGAGGCATCATGGCAATAAGGGTTTCTATTTTACATCAGTCATCGTACAACGGCCATGAGATCAATATTGCCTAAACCGTTCATTTATTCTTCTTAATCTTCTTCTGAAATCGACGACAAAAACTACAGTGTCAGCACGTGTCTGAGCCGTACATCACCAGTGCAAAACATCTTTCTTTGATTTCACCCTCACTCAAATTGCTGTTGACATTATATATTAACAAACGGCTTACTACTAATATCAACACAATTATTAAATATGGTTTTTTATCCTCTTGCAAATATAATATTTCAATAACATAAATTGTTTCTTATTCCTTAAGATTTTATAATCTTAAATGAGAAAAAATATCAAAGTTCCAAATTTTATAAGTTCATCTGTCTATGATACTATGTGTATAATAACAATAATTAAAAAAAAGTATAACCATTTTTTTCCCTAACCAATAAAACAATACAGTTGTGGAATCATACCTTTGTCAACAAAGATAAAATTTAATTAAATTGGAATTAAACGATTAAAAAGAATTTCAATACATCTTGTTATGATATTGGCAAAACAGAATTTTTTTATTTTGAAACTGGAACCTTGAAAGTTGGTGGGTGGGGGCTGTCTCTTATACACATCTGGTTATTGTGTTTGCATACAACAGTAAGACTAGAGATAGCAAATGAAATCTTTAAAGGTCACTTTTCCGTTCAAACATGAACTTCTTGATCCAGACAGCCCAAAGACTATCCTAATTTCACCAGAAAGGATCTATCAAGATGTAATATTATTATTTAACAATCCTAATTATACTACTATTATTTACTAAATATATTAGGACTACTTAGATAGAAATTCACTGGTTTAGCAGAAGGTCTATTACATTAAAGTCGGTCCACATTAGAATCTTGAAAATACTCAAACAAAACCGTTAGACATTGAATTGCTCTTCAAAGAGTGTTGTATGCCCATATATAGTCATGATGTGCCTATATATGGTCATGATGTGATGTCCTCATGACCATATTTAAGTATGTCACATGTTTTTGTCAAAGTAATCTGGACAGAACTTTAAAATTATGAAATCAGTTATTCCAACTAGGAAAGTCTTTAAACAGTCTGCCAGTATAATATCTGTATCCAATATATGGGAACGAGCTTTGTGAATAACTGTTTGCAAATAATCTAAACAAGTCTAGATCTGGATTAGTATTCCTCAAAGCCCCTAAAAAGAGCAAATCCAGGAGGATTACATGATGCGGTTATTTATTTTAAGACGTAATTGAGCCAAATCCGAAATCGGAAATTTTGGATTGGAGTTGTATAACATTGCCTAACCTTCCTAACTTACCTTCTTAATAGAAAAAACAAATGAAAACGTGAGTTCAGACGAATCTATACAAGAAGTGAATTTTATAGCTCCATGACAGTAGCGATCGATTGCTGTTGATCAGGCAAAGCCAAATCCGAAATCGGAAATTTTTTATTATAATAGCATTCTGGTTAAGATGATTGCCTTCTAATCCCGGGGTCCTGGATATATTTTTCTGACGACTAAAAACCAACTTTCTTAATAGCAAAAATAAATGAAAAAAAGTGAGTTCAGGCGAATCTGAACAAGACGGGAATTTTATACCACCATGGGAATACCGATCGATACTTTTGATCAATATTAATTATTAATTACTTTAACAGTTTCTTTAAGTCATCAGCGCAGCTGTCTATAAAAATATGACCTGGCTGAATGCAATATGAAATTACAACCT